TTAAGTTTAACAGTATTTCTGAATATTACTTATCTCCCTTCAGCTTCAGAATTGCTGGTTCTTAACACATATGCAAGATCACATGTTCATATAACTAAAGTGGTCACTACCGATGACAAACCAAGATATGCCAAGAGCTACCACATACTTACCAGAGTTGTTTCCTATGTGAAACTGCAGAGAAAATTAACATTTCTTATATTGCTGGTCTGTCACTGTTAGCAAATTTTTAATTTATTTTTCAACTGGTCCACATATGCATGCACTTGTAAAGATTATATTAACAATATTATCAATAATATTATTATATATTATTAATATAAATGTTATCACAATATTAATAACAGTATCAATAATATTAATAGTATTATCTATGAGCATCTATACAATATTGAGCACCATATTCTACAATTATGCCCCCTACCAGGCAAAGTCTAATGAAAATACAGAAGTCCTTAGGCAGCTAAGTGGCTGCTGAGCTCTAAACCTGCCAGATAGGCAGTCCATTCAAGAACAACTAATGCATCGGAAAGCATCCTACAGATGCAGAAGTAAAGAGTGTTGTCCTTAATAAGAGGGACCTAAGAACCAGCATGCTAAGCAGCATGCAAAGTAGTGTTAATGAAGCTAACAGGGGCTTGAGAACTGAAGTTCTCTATTTTCAGTTGCTCTTCAGGTCATTTTAGAGATATGATATTTTCCTTCCATTCCACTGCTGTAGTTTTATAGTTTTTTCTCCAAATTTGTGGCTGGAGTGGCAATCTTTCATGAATGTTCTTCCTGGAAGAGGTGGGCACTGTTTTCTATTTCATGTCATTTCATGAGATTGTTTCTATATTTGGCTTTGAAAACAAACTCTATAGCACCTACGTACATACTCATTTTACTGACTTTTCAGTCATGACAAAAACTGGAAAAAGATCTTTGAAAATTCCATGGTAAAACACCCACAGCTCAGAACTTTTTCAGCAGCTTGGATGAGTTGCAGTGTTAGCTTTATGATGCTATTCATGACATTTTGAACTGCAGTCAGGAAGCTTTGCAAATATTTCCATATTTATTATATTAAAAAAAAAATCTAGATTTGATAATCTTGTAGTGCTGCAAAGCAGCGCTGAAGAAATCTAGGTATTAGATGTGTTCTCACAGAGACCACTGCACTTGATTTTGTTTCAAGGTAGTTAGGTCAGTCAGTTAGCAGATTTCTGGTGTAATGAAGTTTTAGAGACCCTTGTAGAAGACTATACAGAAATATTCTAGCCTTCTAAAATTTATTGGTTTTTTCCATAATAAACAAGATTATTTTTGTCACATACCAGCACCTGCTTGTAGACTTGGTGAACAGCCTCAGAATACCTCATCTCATTGAAAATCTAGCTTCCCTCTATGTTCCCAGGCTCCAATTCCTACCTCAACAAGCAAACTTCTCTCAGACGTTGAATGTTTCTAAGTTTTACCTTTCAGTCAGCTACCAGGCTTGAGTGTCTCGACCAATGTCAGAAAAACAGTCCCTGAGCTGCTACACTCACAAGCACAAATTCAGTCTTCAGTCCACAGGTGTACAGAAGATTCTGACATGTGCTGCTGCTGGATAAGGAAAAAGTATGTGATGCCTGTGTATAACAATGCACCTCTCTAGCACTCAACAATTTTGCTGCTACTGTTTCAGTTAGCTAACATGAGTGGTTTATTTCTCAACACCTGCTGAGCAAGCCTATGTTAGGCAAACCACTGCGGGAAACAGAAAACCTCTCTGAATTAGACAGGTCTTTTGCTATTTGCTATGAGCCGCTAGGTCTACCGATCTGAGAGCTAGAAGAGCTGCGGAAGCAAAAATAACCGATTTCTGATAGAAATTAACAACATTATTTCTTTTGCTGCTCTGGCTGCTGAATTATGGGGCAGATGAAGATCTCAGATGAAGATCCTGTTTTTTCCCTGGGAGCGTAAGAGCAAAAGGCAGCTAAGTGGCTACTGAGCTCTAAACCTGCCAGATAGGCAGTCCATTCAAGAACAACTAATGCATCGGAAAGCATCCTACAGATGCAGAAGTAAAGAGTGTTGTCCTTAATAAGAGGGACCTAAGCTCAACATACTCATTTTCATATTATTTAAGCTCCAGTGACACTTCTCATGGTTTAAACAGAGCCTTAAAGTTAGCATTTTCCCCTCTATGGGTTTATCCACCTGATGTGAAAGCAGCCATCTGAGTTCCAACAGAACTATATAAGATATGCACTCACTGACATAACCAGTCCCACAGGAGAAGGTCTGACTGCTCCTTCCACAGCTCATCAAGCATGTCACTGCAAACAGCACCAGAAATGCCTCCTAGGCCATCTTTAAGTGAAACAGGAAAATGCTGAGGAAGTATTTCTACTCAAAGCTGTAGAAATACTTATAGAAGATTAAAAAGAGACCAGGGTCTACAATAGAGACTGAGAATGTCAAGTCTGCTAAAAAATTACACTCCCTCACTCCAAAGCCCATCCCTGTTGTTAAGAAATGTTAGCTAAGGGATCCATTTCTTTGAAGAAAAATTAGCTTTCTTTTTTTCCCCAAAGAGAAGAACTTTGACCACATAGAAACTAATGTGTGCAAGAGGTAAACCAGAAAACTGCAAGTTTTAATACATGATCAACATCATGACTCAGCTGATGTAACATCGATTTGGTAAAATGTTAATACAGAAAGTAATAATTTTTTACAAAAACCAGGTCATTAAAAGAAAAGATTGCTGCTTTGTTTCAGATTACATATCCACCTGCCCCTATGTCTAAAAAGCAGGAAAAGAAACTAGCAAATTCACAGGGCAATGAAATGGAGAGGTGGTATGGTAATGCTGTGCTGGTAATCTACGACAGTGACTACGTTCATCAAATTGATGAAACTTCCCCTCTGCTATAGGAAGAAGCATTCAGAAAAGATGAATCTGTCATTAAGGAGAATCTTTAGCTCCACAAACTTTGGTAACAATGTTTTGTTACAAATGTAACAAAATCTGTAACAAATTTATAACATTTTTGTTACAAATGGCAACAAAAGCAACCACGTAAATGACTGTCCAGGTGTGATCCCAAGAAACAGGGAGTATGATGCTGAAAATGTGAAGTCGCATGGTGATGTGGGTGAGGGTGACCGTGAACCAGAAAAAAATTCAATGACTGAGAGAAGGAAAGAGATTTCAAGAAATGAGATGTCAGTACACTCAACGTATTCATAGGTAGGACCTGATAGGTATTAACTGTACTGGAAAGAAAGATTTAGAGGAGTTACCAGTTCCTGACAATTAAGATTGAAACATGGAAACATATGAAGGTTGCATCTACATAGCAATTAGTGTGGTACAATTACGGCAAATCAGTAAAGTGAAAGAGTTGGTACTGAAGAAGCATATCCATCCTGCACACACTCCTGGGGTTTTACTTTGACTAGCTTTAAAAAAGTCAAAGATAGTTGAGTACTGAAGGAGACTACATAGGTAGGTGATGAAATTTCTCTCAGGAATTATACAGCTCTAAGTGATCCTTCCTTGGACATGACCTTTAAGCTTCAATTTCTATCATTATATAAATACTCTGGGGGTGGGGTGGGGGTGAAAAATGGCTCAGTGAAAACATTGATTTTTTTTCAAATGAGGATTTTCGAAAAGAAAAACTTTTTTGTTAGAAGATTTTGACTGGCTCTAACCCTCAGGAGATGATGGCTGTTAGTCACTATCCTAAATGACCCATTACCACTCAGAAAACAAAAAGATCATGAGGTCGAGTAAATGCAGACAGCAGGAGAGAAAAAATGCCGTTACCAAGGTAAAAGCAATTCCTTCTGTTGCTTAACTGCAAAACAAAGCACCACCACTGCCCCCGGGAAAACTGACCCAACAGTTATGGATCCCAACAGTTGTTAACATAGGCAGATTGTCTGTATTTTTAGCACTGGCCAGGTTTTGGCAGCGGGGCTGCAGGGTCTCTGTGAGGAAGGTGGGGAATGCCCTGGGCTGGTCCAGCTGCCCCCAGTGTGGACAGCCCTGCAGGGCACCACCAAGCCCCTCAGCCATGTATGTCGTACCTCCGCCTCCATGAAAACAACCTTAAGAAAGGGCAGAAAAACACCTGGGAGCTGGCGGTGGAGATCAAAAAACAAACACAAACCAGAAGCAGCAGCACAAACACCAAGGGCAGAGGAGGAGGCAGGGAGGAGGAGCTCCAGTACCAGAGCAGAGAGTCCCCTGCAGCCCGTGGGAGACACCATGGTGGAGCAGGTGTCCACACTGCAGCCCTCTGAGCAGTTGGATACTTCCTGAAGGATATTTCCTGTGGAGAGCCCACGTTGCAGCACGGAACAGAGCAAGGAGGAAGGAGCAGGAGAGAGAAGCTGTTAGGGACTCACTGCAGCCTCCATCCCCCATCCATCCTCCCCTGCGCTGCTTGGTGGGGAGAGGAGTTGGGTGTGAAGGAGTGAAGTTGAGCCTGTGAAAACTGGGGCTGTGTGTGTATGAGAGGAAGGTGGTTTTTTATGTTTTTTGTCTTTGTTTCTTACTGTCCAACTCAATTTTAATTGACAATAAATTAAACTACTTTTCCCCAGTGGGGTTTGTTTTGCCCATGAGAGTTCATGGTACATGATCTCCCTGTCTTCATCTTGACCCATAAGCTTTTCCATCCTGTTTTCTCCCCATGTTCTTTTGAGGAGGGGGAGTGTGACAGCAGCTTGGTGGGCCAAGGTTAACCTACCACAATGACTTAGTACTGCTGACCAGTTATAAAACAAAGTTCAATGGGTTTTTCTTGGTATTGAGTTTCTCTGATGCTCTCTTTAGAATTAAACCTAGTACTTGATTAAAAAACAACAATCCACACTTTTGCTATAGCTTCCCATCTTTAGTTAAGTGGAAACTTAATCTTGGAGACATTAGGGCATACCCTCATTTGAGATTCATTCAAGGGAATTGTATAGTAACACCAGTGCCAAACAGCAATACCACAGAAAAAAGCACTCACAGAAATTTTCCATTGTTTCTTGACCCAATGAGGATACGGTGTTCCGACTCTTCCCGAGAGATCCTGCCGTGGAACCATGGCATCTTCTCATGGGCTGTAGTGGCGATCAACTTCTCCAGCTGAGGCTTTTGACTAATGATAGCTTGTTCAAGAGCATGCCCCTGCAGAGTGGTAAAAACACAGTGGGACAGTCAAACTGTCTTCTGCAATAAAAACATGACAGGTAGACTCCCAGTATAAGATTGCTTTTGGGACATCCAAAATCTGCACATATTTGTTGTATGTGAAGGAAAGATCTGTTGCTATAAAGATAAACCAGAAACTAATGTATAGTAATCTAAACATCACAAAGCTGGGATTTGTCCCTTACCTCTGAGAAACTGAAGGAAAAATAACCAGTAAATTAAGCCCTTAGTGTATCAGTATTTAAACTGAAAATTACATCATATTTTTATGCTAATGAGACATAGCTAAATATACACTTAATGTCACTCTGAGATGTCATAACATACCTCCATATTACATATCCTATGGCAGTTTACTGAAATAAACTGAACATGCTTTGCATTGTTGTAGCATGTCTATGTTAAAGACATCAATGCAAATTTCCCCAAACTAGACAGGACAGTCCCAATTTGAGAGTGAACTACGTTAATATTTTAGGTATAACCTAGACACTTCTAAACCCATCTACAGCCTATCACTTCTAAATTTCACCCAGAATCTAAGGGCAAAACTCCCTAGTTTCATAGGTTTTCAACTTGAGTTCATCAACTTCCTTCTAGATTGGGCTCAGATTCATCAGAAAAAACTATAAGCCTCAGCGCTTGTAGTAAATGTAGTATAAGTTTTAGGCTTTTCCAGTTGGGCATTGTTCCCCATATTTTACAGAGCAGAACACATAGGGTTACTTGCTAGTACCAAAAGAGATGAAAAATCTAATGTAACTCCATGAGTTCATAATGGCAACTCATGGCATCCCAAGGTGAAATAATATTCCTGTTGCAGCCTCCTACACTAGTGTTTCCATGTTAAGACTGGCTTCTTCACAGTCATTCTAAGGAAAAAATCCAGCCTGTCTTCCTCAGCATGGAACATTCCTGCTTGACATATGCAGTACCGAAGACATATAGGCAGTGCTCTGCAGTTAAGAAACCAACTTCTGTTTTGGACATAATCTAAATAAGCATAACAGAAACAAGGCCAGCTAAGAGGGCAGGTTGTAAAAACAAGTCACGATGTTGCAATGCCTGCCTGCACATCAGTCCATAAAAATTCAGAATCAAAAGCAATCAAACAAACCATTTCTATATCTTGTTCCTTACCATTATTAATTTTTGGTGCACGTGGAAATCTGGTAACACAGGTTAGTGCAGTGGTAGATAAGGCTATGGTCGCCCAAGACACCATAAAAGTCCTAAGTTTTGTAAAATTTCAGGAAAACTACACTTATGGCCAAGGTACTGCATGTATTGATGGGGAAAAAAACCCACCCTACTGTTCAAAACTTAAACAGCTATGATTCCATTATGAAAAAATACTACATAGCAGCAGCAACAGCTGGAAACAAACACTGCAATCTCTTTTTCTCCTAACACAAAGACAACCTTACGGCAAAATCAGCCTGGATTTACCTGCAAATTCCAAGTTTGTTTGACATACTCTCTGATGAGGTTCTCTTTTAAATCTTCAAAGGGTCCTGTTTTGGGTTCAACACCTGGTGGTCGGTTGAAGGGTTTTCTCAGTAGACAGATAAGGCCATCCGTTTCTTCTGAGTGATAGTTAATGAGTTCAGCAGGACTGGCATGTGACTTGCCTCCTGCAATAGCATATGAGCCACTCAGCTCCCTCTCAATTGTATAATGATGAACCTTCCTTCCGTGGGCCAAGGATAATGCAAAGCCCCCCAGGTAATTCCGGCTTTGGCGGAGCAAGTACAGTCCATCACTCACTCCTCCTTGCATCAGATACTGCTCAGCTTCTTCACGTGTAATATTGCCAAAGAAGTATGGCAAATGGTTAGCAGGGTTTGCTGTGTTGGAAGCCATGTTTTTTCTCTTCCAAGTAGCAAACTTAGTATTCTGTATCTGAAAAACAAAGACAGAGACATGAGTATCAGTTGAAAAAAAGAGGATAAACCAGTAACACGGCAGTTGACGTGATATGTCAGTAATACATTTTTTAAAAGATTTTGGGATGATGTCGTGGTTTAACCCCAGCTGGCAACTAAGCACCACATGGTCACTCACTCACTCACCACCCCCACCCCCCACTAGGATGGGGGAGAGAATCAGGAAAAAAAAGGTAACACTTGTCGGTTGAGATAAGAACAGTTTAATAGAACAGAAGGGAAGAAACTAATAATGATAATAATAACAATAATAAAATTACAATAATAATTATAAAAGAATTGGAATATACAAAACAAGTGAGGCACAATGCAATTGCTCACCACCTGCCAACCAACACCCAGTTAGTCCCTGAGCGGTGATCGCCCCCAGGCCAATTCCACCCAATTTATATACTGGACATGATGTCACATGGTATGGAATACCCCTTTGGCCAGTTTGGGTCAGCTGTCCTGGCTGTGTCCCCTCCCAACTTCTTGTGCTCCTCCAGCCTTCTTGCTGGCTGGACATGAGAATTGCTTGACTTACTTAGCAACAGCTGAAAACATCAGTCTTATCAACATTCTTCTCATACTGAACCCAAAACGGGGCACTATACCAGCTACTAGGAAGCAAGTTAACTCTATCCCAGCCAAAACCAGGACGGATGAAGATCACATTTTTGTTTTTACCTTCTTGGAAGTTGTCTTTCTAAATCCCAGTAGAAAGATTCTCCCTGTTATATAGCAATACATGTTTCCTATAACTGCAGAAGTTTCCTTTAACTCTTTCCCTCTCTGCTCCTTTGCCTAGCCATATAGAGGTCCTGCCATTTTCACTTGCCTGAATGCCTCTATCCATCCTTTCGTACTGGCCTTGAGGTGTTTCCCAATAAAAGGAAATAACTAAGTAAGAAAGATTCAGTGAGAACAGTTTTTCATTCCAGTTTTGTGCCATCATAATTTTGCTTATGAGTAGCTTATGCCAGTATGTGGGCTGAGTATGGACAAAAGTCCTTTATTAAAATAGTTAACATTCCTCTCCATAGAGACTTACCAAATGTTTTTTTAATGGGGGAAAAAAAGTGATAGTGTCTTTTTGAACAATTTTCATTTCAAACACCTTATATTGAAATAATACGAAGGCACGCTACCAACAAACCCACAGAAGAGAATCAAGTTCAGCATCTCTGAAGAATAATAGTGAATGTAACATAAACGGCTGAAATTCTTACATTCTTAATATAACAATAAAAATATCTTATATTTATTTAATATATCATATATATGAGATTATATATATATTAATATATGATATATTTTAAAAAATATGCACAAGGACTCTATAGAACTCTAGCTACAAGAATACTGTTCTTCTTGTGCCCTGTCTTCCCTGAGTTATCCCAGCCTCTAACCTACATTGCCAGCAGAGAAATTTATTTTCATTAAACCCCACGGCAGATTTACACTGCCTGGACAGCTAAATATTGTGCTGGAATTACTTTTGTCTCTTTCAAGTTATTGAAGAGGAGGCATCAGAACGCAAAAGCTGAATTTGGTTTATTATTCGTATTAGTGACATTTAAATGACTATCTAATGGACACTGGGAAGAATACCCCAGCTACATGCTGATAATATTTAAGTGGATAGGAAGTGAATATATTGACACCAGTGAGATCTGTATTCTTGCAACAGTATTTGCAAGTTCTTTTTTGTCAGATGAAGTGGTCTACAACTACAGTTACTTATGTAATTACAAGTTCACCAGTCAAGCCATTAATTGTTTCCTGCAACATTACGAGTTTTTCATACACTTTCTCCTCCAAATGCTTCCCCAATCCAATCACTGTTTAAATAGGATTAGCCACAGACTGTTACATCTGTAGTTTATGGGGCATAAAAAGAAGGGAACTCCATTTAGGAACAGTTCAACATCTTCTTTCAGTCTAGAAAGAAAAGAAAAATCCCACTAAGTATTGCCTGTGCATCTGTAAAATGACTTCATCATCTGAAAAATTACTTTCAGAGAACACATGAAATGCTGAATAAAACTAGCAGTACATGCTTATGTTTGTATTACTTGTATGTGTTAAACTTTTCCTTAGGAAATATCTCACTTAATTGCCAACATTTTTATTTCCTTGTCTTTTAAGTTCAGTTGCGACAATCTGATATTCAAATACTCTCAACTATACGAAATAAGTGACAGCCTCTGTTATCTGTAGTGTATTATGCAGATTTTAGGCTAACTAGGCAACACTACAAGTATATCAAAGGAAAAACACAGTTGTTTCTTTGTATTTACAAGAGTACTGCACAGCTTGTATTCTTTTTTTCCAATGTATGTATACTAAGTAAAATGTATATATACTAAGCATGAAACCCATGAGCATTAACCTACAAAATACTGTTATCTGTGTTTTATTCAGGTTACTGCAGCTCTCTTTTCCCACCTTCCATTACCTTGGCTAGAAGCGGACAAAAGGATCAGAAGTTCAGTTCCTTTTTCTATTGCTGTGCAGGATATAGCAGCAAAACCAATGTGCTCTTCACACTTAAACAAAGGGCACAGTTTCAGGGAAGCCATGCAACAGTCTGTGGAATCAGCACTAAATAATTCAGGATGTATGTGAAAGGGGTTAATAGACCTCTTGGCTTGCAGCTGGCCAAAGCATGTAACTAAGTTACATGAGCACAGGTGAAGAGGACTTTATGGAGGACGACACAAGAAGAGAGGGTCCATAGTGCAAAGCTGCCACTGAAGAATGGGCATCTTAAGGTAGGGCCTTTTGGCACAGGGTGCTTAAAGCTGGCACCTTCCCTGGCAGCTCTGCAGCAGGCAGAGCTGTGGTGTGCCTCCTGCTTAGTTCAGATATGGTCCATCAATGGACCATAGGTGATCTGCTGTCTCTTGTGCTTGGGTCAAGAAACAGTAGATAAATAGCTGTACTGCTCTCTGAATACTTGAAGAATGGGGCAAGGCGAGGGGAGGAACACACAAGTCGAATGAACAAAGCTCACACAGTATAGCAAACTAGACAGGACACAGTCAGGACAAACCATGTGTTGTGCAGATCTTCTGGTCTTCTCCCACCTTGCCAAAAAAGGGAGACATCAAAGCTGCAGAGTTACTGCAGCCCTACAAAATAGAGCTGTGTGCAGCATGTTATTTATTACTCTTGTGGTTTGCAACCAAAGGTTACTGGTTTAAGATCACATACTAATCTACTGATATATCTTTTGTTTATTAATTGCAAAAGAAAGGTGTAACTGAAGAGACAGAAGAAGGCAGTCTTCAGTAAGCCACTATCAAATATTCATTCTGCATAAAATACCATGCAATATGACAATTTCAACTGCACCAGATGAAGACAAAGACAGCTTTCCTTAAACAGAATGCATTATATCAGTAACATAATGCAGGGCCAGAGGATTGTAATCAACAGTACAAGGTCCAGTTGGAGGCCAGTTAATAGTGTTGTAATGCAGGGTCAGTACTGGGGCCAATACTGTTTAAGATCTTCATTAAGGAGTGGACAACGGGGAGAGTGCACCCTCAGCAAGTTCACAGATAATACAAAATAAGAAGTAGTGGCTGAAACACCATAGGGCTGTGATGCCATTCAAAGGGACCTGGAAAGGCTGAAGAATTGGTCTGGGAGGAATTTAGTGAAGCCCAACAAGGGGAAACACCCTGTGGAGCAGGCTTTTCCCCTTTGGGGTGTCAGTCTTTCTGGCTGGGTGGCTGTCGAGGGGGCAGCCCCTGACAACCCTGTAACGTCACCAGGGAATGGCTGTGACAGCCCCTGACCTCGCTGCTTTTCAGCAGCCACAGCCCCTGTGCCCATGCATCTTGTCCAGGGCTCCTGCGGGCGCACACATAAGGCGTGCAGGCTCCAGGAGGACCTTCGTCTTGCTCTACCAGCTTTGGCATGGGGGAGAGCAGATCTGGTTGCTGTGCAAAGGCAGTCCCTTCCAGTGCTCTCTCCTCTGCCCTGCTGCACGATGCTGCGGGTCCTGTCAGCACCTGTCCTGGGACCATGGGTGTGAGGAGGGTCCCAGGGACATCGGCAGCCATGAAGACTCTCAGCAAGTTCCTCTGTCTTTCCTGATCACCTCCTTCAGGTGCCCTGTGCTAACCTGGTGGCATCTGGGGGAGAGCACGGGGGCTTGGGTGTCTTGGGTGTGCCAGCTCTTCCCCCAGGGCCCCCCAAAAGCTCGTCAGAGCGTGCCCCAGGCATCTCGCCTGACCCAGCTTGAGCACTGGGGAGATGTGGAGGAGATGGGGGCTTTCCGTCCTGCTCTCCATCTCACCCTCCCTGCCCTCCTGCAGCCCACATCCAAGGCGGTGCAGCGATAGGGGCACATCCCAGCCTGGCCCCGGATCTCTCTGCCCTGCCCCAGGGCTGTGGGTGCTGCTTTCCAGCCCACAAAGAGAGCCTTTGGGATGCCCTTGCCTCCCCTCTCCCACAGCCTTCTGGGGCTTCCTTGGCTTTTCTAGTCCTAGCAAGAGACAAGCTCCAGCGCTTTGCACGTCTTTCTTGGCAGGACACAGCATCGGGTGCCAAGGAGGACATGGCGGAGAGCAGCTCTGCTGCAAGGGACGGCGGCACGAGCCAGCCGCCCCAGGCAGCGCCGGCATCAGTCTCTTCTCAAGTGTGATAGGATGAGACCAAATGGCCTCAAGTTGCACTAGGGGAGGTTTAGATTGGATATCAGGAAAAATTTCTTCACCAAAGGGCTATCAAGCACTGGAAAAAGCTGCCCAGGGAAGTGGCTGAGTCACCATCCCCAGAGGTATTTAAAAGACATGTCGATGTGCTTAGGGACGTGGTTTCATGGTGGACTTGGTAGTGTTAGGTTTACGGTTGGACTCAATGATCTTAAGGGTCTTTTCCAAACTAAATGTTTCTATGAGTCTATGATTCTATTAATCTGAAAGCCATTATGAATATGGAGGC